GAAAATTTGTCTGAAAATGCTATTTTTGAGCTCTAAAATCCTATTTTTAATACCAATTGATTATGATCATTATAAAATTGATTTACCACAATAAAAATGATGTTTTTAACAACTAAAAATGATATGTGTTGCATGACGGTAAGTTCGGGTGTTAACACTCGAAGCTAGAGGATTACTCGTTTGGGAATGCCCGATCCAATGTTGACCAATTGCCATATTGTTGTTGTTGCCTTAACTGATTACAGTTAAGTGTCTGAATCATTTGCCTTAAACTAGTGATAGTTTAAGTGTCTGATTGCCTTAACTGACTATAGTTAAGTGTCCGAAATCGATTGCCTTAAACTAATGATAGTTTAAGTGTCTGATAATTAATTGCCTTTTTAAGAGCATTGTTATAATCTGGCCTTAGACTAAGAATAGCTAAGAGCATCGTTATAATCTGGCCTTAGACTAAGATTAGCTAAGAGCGTTGTTATTATTTGGCCTTAGATTAAGAATAATTTAAGGGCACTGTCAGAATAATATTTGAATTGAATAAAATGTGTTGATATGAACTGAACATTACCAAAACTATGAATGTCTGAAATGAACATTGTGTGCATGATATCAAATGTTTTGATTATGAATTTAGATTCAGTTTATATGGATGTTCGATGCATTAGATATGCTTACTCAGCTTTACCGCTGAGCGTGTAGTGTGTTTTATTTGCTACACGCAGGTAAAATAGAAAGACCAATGTGATCCTGGCAGCAGATGGGGCGAGATTGTCGGGATGGATGTGACAAGTTTGAAATGATTTATGATATGTCAATATTAAATTCGCTTCCGCAATATTTTTGAATACTCTGTACTGTACCTATTATGAAAAATATTATTGTGATAAATAAAAAGTGTTTGAAAAGTTTTAAATTATTACGATTACCAAGTTAATACTTTAGTCCGAAAGGAGCTGCAGACCTGGACGGATTAGGGTGTTACATCCGGTGCCCCCGGTGGTTTGGAAAATTGGCACCAATACCCCCTCAGTATTCAAAACTTATTTCTAAAGCCCATGTGGTTTCAAAACGTTGCACCCACACCCTCCCTGATCATTTTCCGGTCATTTTCCGGCGAAGAGGGGGGTATTGGTGCATATTCCCTCTGTCCCCCTGTATTTGTCCACATTTGACTTTTAAAACTGTTCATCTAAGAACTTTGACTCATCAAATTCTCTCAATGTGTAAGCCTAAATATAGACATGTGTGATCTTGTTTGATTTGTCTTAACATATAGATTATTAATATATAATTTTTTAATATACAAATTACAAGATAAAGTGGATTAAAAAAGTGTATTGGATGGCGTGTAAAAATGAAAGTGGACAAATACAGGGGGACGGAGGGAGTAGTTTCTAAACCATATGCGGCATTCGTGCTCATTTCTTATTTTCGTTTATTATTTGTGTTTTTCCTTTTTTTAAATATTTTTTGTCTCTTTTTCCTTTTCCTATATTTTTTTTAAAAAATTATATTTTCAATTTTTTATAATGTTCTACAAATTTTAAAATTCTGTGTTGAAATAAAAATAAAAATAAAAAAATTAACATACATTACATCTATCTCAAATTAAATATTTTCACTTTTTATTACTTAGAATAGTTTTATAGAAATACTTTTTGTTACCTAGAATAAAAAATAAAAATATAGAAAAACGAAATGAAAAATTAAAATACGCAAAAAAAAAGTCTTATACAAAAAATTGGACACGCATAAAAAATTCCTTAGAATTGAGATGTCCAAAAAGGATATTTATTTTTATTTTTGTATTATTTTGTTTCTTATTTTATTCCTCATTTTTTTGAAGTTCTCAAAAAAAATTACTTTTTTCAGACAAAACGAAAATTGTTAATTTGAGACGTACATATGCATTATATGTTAATTTTTTTTAAAAAAAATAACTTAAACCTTTATTAATAAATGAAACAAAAAATGGAAAAAACAAAAAATATCCGAGAAATAAAAATTGGCATTGATACTTGTTTTGCAAAGCACGAAGGGTACTACCGCTATTTGGCCAAATTTTTTAGAAATAAATTTTGAAAACAGAGGGGGTATTAATGCTTGTTTTGCAAAGCACTAAGGGTACTAACGCTATTTGGCCAAATTTTTATTCAAAAAAATTAATTAGGAATTTCTCCAGGATTACATTCGTGTACAACCCGGACGGGGCCTTTATAAGAGTGCCCTAAAAAAAGGTTTCTCTTATAAAAATGTCCAAAAAAGGTTTGATATTATGAGACTACCCTCTATCTACCCTCACTGAAAAGCACGAAAAATTAGCATGTGAGATTCCCAAATTACCCCTATTCTTCGGAAGCCATGGTCGAAAGAATCTAATTACGTTCCACAGCCGTTTAACGATTTCCCCCCTTTTTTGACCCGCCCCGAAATTAACTATTGCAGTTTTCCCCCTTTTTTGACCCGCCCCGAAATTAACGATTTCATGCCTTTCAGCTCCTCAATCGTACGCACACTACACATTTGTTCTGCAAATCGGCAACCTAATTTGAAAGCACAGCAAAACGATAAGATTTGGGAACGCGTTTAGAAGCTATTGCGTAGCGCTGAAGGAGGAAAAAGAGCAGAAAGAGATTACGGTAAATCCTAATTTTCGATACCCCAAAATTTGATTACAAACCCTAATTTTTCTTTACACTAAAGAGTTATGATTTTTTTGTTTAGCTCTCCTAAACATCCTTTCTTCTTCGCTATTGCGTAGCGCAGAAGAAGAAAAAGAGCAGAAAGAGATTACGGTAAACCCTAATTTTCGATACCCAAAATTTGATTACAAACCCTAATTTTTCTTTACACTAAAGAGTTATGATTCTAATTGAGCCAATTGTGTTATGATTCTACATATCTTATGGTAAACCCTACATTTCTAAGATAGAAATAAACCCTACTCCGAAATAAACCCTATTCGAACATAGTCTGCGAAACCATACGAACATTTACGAATATTCGACGTTATTTCGATTGGTCTCGACTATTCGAC